ATACCAACTTGCTTCTGAAAAGCCTTTTCGACCTATATAATTTTGACGTAATTTTCAATTTACTTTCTTACTAAATAGAAAACAATAATATTTTGAACTATTTAACGATTTAGCAAAGTAATCCGCCGTACAATCCGGTTTCGCAATCAACATTACCGTATCCTCCACCCGGAGCTTATCCACCTCAATCGCCTCAAGGAACTTCTGCGCCTTATCCACCTCAGAGACCACAAGGTGCATCTGCGCCCTACCCGCCTCAGAGACCACAAGGTGCATCTGCGCCCTACCCACCTCAAGGTCCACAAGGAGCATCTGCGCCCTACCCACCTCAAGGTCCACAAGGAGCATCTGCGCCCTACCCACCTCAAGGTCCACAAGGAGCATCTGCTCCCTATCCACCTCAAGCACCTCAGAATGTCGGGTATCCACCACAACACCCTCAACCACCTCGAAATGGTAGTCCAGTATCATTTCCGGTACCTATACCAACGCCTAATAATGGTTATCCTAATTATTCAACACAAGGTGGTTATCAACAGCAGCCTTATCCACCTAATAATGCCTATCCACCTAATAATGCCTATCCACCTAATAATGCTTATCCACCTAATAATGCTTATCCACCTCCCAATAACCAAATGTATCCCCCACAAAATTTTGGTCAAGGATATCCACCCACAGGAGGTCCCTATTAACATTTTTTTTAAAGAACATTTTTAATTTTAAAACTCTAGATTTATTTATCATTAAAGATTCATAATTGATGTTAATATGTGATTGATATGCTTATTTTTATTTTATGTATTTGTAAATTTTAACAATCATATTTATTTTTAACTAAGGTTTTTTGTGATTAGAGCTTTTTATAGTTCATTTAGTTCATTTGTAAATGATCATTCTAATAAAACAATATTTAATATTTAGTTTAAATTCTTCAGTTTAATAGGTAATTTGTTTGTGTATTGCTACCCAATAATATAGACACAACTTTATTTCAAATAATAGATTATCGGTCGAATTCGTATTGCTAAAAGCGTTTACAATTTTGGGATGTTTGGAATTATGTGTTTTTTTTTCAAAAGCATGAAATAACATCATGCAAAAATAAATTATCGATACAAATAGAAGATTATGTTGCCAAAAGTTTCATAAACATCCATTATTACATAGTAATAATCACAAAAATTTTCATGTTTTGTAATACACATTGCCAAATCGATGTTCTTTTATATATTCACCTCCACATTCATTATATTCATCTATTGTAACACTATAATTTTGAAATTCGGAAGATCGTGCCCAAAGAGCTGCACCATGCCACGCATCAAGTACTGGATCTTTCGCATGAATTAGTTGGAGCGGTGATGCAGCTGGTAAAATTGATCGAAGAGAAACTTCTAATCGTTTTAAAAGGCCTGGAGTTTGTGTATGCCCTCCAGTAACAAATACAGACTATTATATAATATATATAATAATGAATTTCAATTGAATAAAGAACAATGAATAAACAATGAATAAACAACATAATTCATAATGTGCAATCTAATTACCCGAATCATCTTTTTTCTTGCGTCTACGTCCTCAAACCGGCTTATTATTTCTCCAATAGTTTCCACTATTCCAGCTTGATCCAATCCAAGTATACTAGGTTGAAATAAAGCCTCTGGAACTCTTATTCTTTCAACATTGACATGTAATTGATGCATCTGTGCAAAATTCTCCGGATCAAATGGAGGCGTGACTCCCCGAGTAAACATGAAAATCAGAGAATTCTTAACGGAGTTCTTTGCGTCAAATGTATGCTCTTGCAGGAATGTAGAATCATATTGAAGAAGTTTTGTTTCATGTTCTCTCAATAAGGTAAGCTCTTCTTCTTCCTCCCATGCGTCCTCTTCTCTACTCTACAAGCAATTAATATACATTGAATGATGAGTAACATACAAAACACAATCCATGATTAACTTACTATTTCTTTATAAATAGACCAATCATTATCATCCATTCCAAATGTATCCTCTATATGGTAAAAGAGAATGGATTAGATAAAAAATTGATTAAGTTTATTCAGGTTGATTCAGATAAATATACTGATTATTACCATCTTGGCCTCTTCTACGTCTCTTTTGTTGTGGAGTGTCACTAGCCAAATTAGCGATTGATTTCATCCGTAATTGTGAAGCGTGACTTCTCCGATCCGAGAGCTGCTCCTTTTTTCGTTTGATGCTTTTTACTTTGTCAAGTTGACTCTGAAGGACGTTAAAATTAAACATGTTTAGATTTTATAATTAACTCTAAATAGAAAGTCATAAAAATCGTATACCTGATAATTATGCTTAAGTTCGCTCAGCCAGCCTTCAAAATCTGTTTCTCGTCTTTGTTCTTCCAATCTTTTTTCCTCTTCCTAATAAGAAATACAATATAAAGGGTTTTGTCGTAAAATGGGAAAAGGATTCATACAAACTAAATTATTGAAAGCAGATAATTTACTTGCTGTCGCCTAGCTAACTCTTTTGCTTCTCGTTGTCTTTGACGTGTTTCATGAAGACTTTTTGAAGCAACTTGCTTCTTTTTCTCTTTTCTCTCAGCTTCATTTAGCTGATCATCCGGTATATCCACAAGTGGAAATGTAGGCTCTTCCTAAATAAAATATCAATTAAAATTGAAATTATAAATTAAAATTATATAATGATCATATAATAATTTAATAGCCATATCTATTTTATTACACACCTTTATTTCAACTTCTTCAATTCCTAATAATTTATTCCTGGCTCTCTGTACCGACTTTTCAGTTTTTTGAATGATCTCATCCAATTCTGCTTCATCACTAATTCTATTTTCTTTAAGCTTAGCCTATTTAAATGTAAATTATTCATCACTATCCGCGGTTTATAATAGTATTTAATTTATGTTTCTAAAATACACCATACAATAAATTCTGCTTTTTTCATTGAGGATTTACTTGTTTTGATTTCCATGTAGAATTCTAAAGTGTTTTCTAGATCTTTTAGCTTATTAAAAAAATTAAAATTACTTTCGTTATATTTTTGAAGTTTGACTTTTAAATAAACACAAAGTTCTTGATGAATACACACTTTCTGATGTCTTAATTTCGCAGCTTGTTCTTTTAAACGACGTGCTTGCTCCTGCCTTCTTTCTTCTGCCCTGGCTAATTCTTCTTCACTCTTTTCATTAGCCTTTTGAAAAAAAATATATATAAATTCATATAACATATGTAATGAAATAATTCATAAATCACAATGTTTGTTTACCGGTGGTACGTAAGGAAATTGAATGATTCGATCTTTTTCCGCAAATTTATTCGGATCCGTATACTCTTTTAATTCAGCAAAATAATCTTCGGCAACATACGTATGATTATGTACAAGGTGCTGATATAACATATAAATATATATATAACCCAATTCAGAATATGCGAAATGCAGCTTTTTAGTTATATATAAACAATATAACATTTTCAAACAAAAAAAAAATTACTAACTTGTGCCTGGTTGACAGTCATTTTTGTTGGAAATGTTGGATATTTTAATTGCATTAATTTTAACATGTAATCCGTTGATGTCAATCCACCATATGATATCCTTTAAGAAATTACTCATAACGTTATTAAGAAAAGTGAAACATAAATTCAGATTCGGATTTAATAACATAGTTTACCAAATTGCACTATTACCTTTTAGTCTGTCCTAACACGCTACGACCAAATACTGGTATAACATGGGTCGTAGTATGACCGGATGATATCACAATTCCACCTTCATCAGAAGATAATCCATTACAATGAAAGCTCATAAGCGCGTCAATACCATAACATACCGATGGCACACGATAACATTCAAATAACAGCTCTGACATCACTATTATCAAAAAGATAAACCTTGTAAAATTTATCTAATAACGTTATACAAAAGATAGAATAGGCTTATGGAACTTTGATTACGTTTTCGCGAATGACTTGGATTGCAGACAGGTTCAGTCATCAATATTGGGTGATTTACTCTATCGGTATCGATTCCAAGTTTGATAAAAATGTAATCTAAAACAGATTCCTTTCAAGTTTAAGACGGTTATATTTACATAAATTCAATAGATAAAAATTTTTGATTTAAATAATAATTATCACAATTTCTTACCATAGTTTCAAAATTGTAAACCACATTTCCATCAAATGCTGATTTTGCATTCGTTTTTGCCGTAGCGTCCGTATAAACATCATTGCCGACCAACAAAATGCTTTGATTCAATTTACGATCTTTATACTTTGAAACCAAATTATCAAATTGTACTAAAAATCAAAAATAAACTTAAAAATGAATTTAATGAAAAAAATTCAACTTTTCGATCTGATTATAATTTTAATCTTTGTACTTACATCTTGGTGAAATGTCAGTAGCCCACCCAACACGACACTGATATGATCCTTTAGCAATTAAATGGATAATGAATTTGCCCATTAGCCATTCGTATTAATGCTAATTTTTATATATTAAAAAAGAAACCGATAGTGACAACTGTAAGTTTCACTATTAAAAAATAACAATCGTATGATTTTCTTTATCATAAAACTATCGATATATTTCACTACGCGTTAATTTGCTATACAACTCTAAAATGCATTTAGCTAGCTTCCTTTGTCATTTGCAAGTTTTTAATCAAGCGTACCGTTATCAATAACTAGTGGCGTTTCCTTATTTAAGAAATTGGTTTCATAATCGGTTGAAGTAAAATTTGCTGTGTAATTACGCCTTTCAGCAATATTATAGATCCTCGGTTGGAACGAAGTCTCCAAAATCATTTTTTTTAAGCAAAAATTAAAAACTGAAAAATTGGGAGGAAGGTTCACGAACCCAGCTTTTAGTACATACTAGGTACGTACAATTCCACACGCCGGGTAATTCTCTGATTCCCAAAATCTTATCCGAAATTCCAGATCCGGATCTGCATTATTACAGTACTATAAAAGATCAAAAAAAATTTTTTTTTGATCTTCCTCTCTTTTCGTGGCCTTACTCGAGCAACATGTCTGAGCAAGTTAGTCAGTTTTTTTTTATTATTTACGTGTAAAAAGTACTTTGTATTGTTCTTTATTTAGTAAGAAAGTAAATTGAAAATTACGTCAAAATTATATAGGTCGAAAAGGCTTTTCAGAAGCAAGTTGGTAT